TATAGCTGCTCTTTAGGTTTTGAGTCTCTAATGACTAATAGACTCTCATTTTCATAATATCAGAAAGAACAACTCGTTAAATTATCATAACCCTTTAGCCCAGTTGATACAATCAGCAATACAGTAGCATCAAGCACAGTTTAGAAATTGAATATTTGTGGTAGTTATTAATCTTTCACCTTTAGCCATGTAATTAAATCAAAATTGGAGACCAGCCCAAAATATGTTTATAGTGAATAAACTCTTCAATATAACAACTTTACCCTTCAGGATGAGGCCTTAGAAGGAGTTGGGAGCAGAGGAATAGATAGAAGAATAGGAGAAGGTTTCCAGTGAAGCCAGAGGACACAAGATGATCACACAAACTCTAGGAAATTGTTGAAGACAAGAGGGAAAGACAGAGTACAAGAACAAAGGCAAGACTAGAACAACTTGACAGTACTGGGGAATCTGTAAATTGTACTCACTTTCCTTTGAAACTAATAACAATTGAGTGAAGGAAGAAGAGAGAAGAAAAGAAAAAGAAAGAAAAATCCAAATTAGGGCAGGAACAGGAACAAAAAGGGAGATGAAGAATAACACAGGGGAGCAAGAGACTGAGTGGGAAAAAGAAGAAAGAAAAGAAGAAGAATTTGCTTAATGGGAAATAATAAAATTAAAAAATAAAAATAAAAAATAAAAAATATGAAGAAAAGAAAGAAAAAAATTTGAAGAGCCTCTTTCAGGGTATATCTCTGCTGTCACAATAGACATTGTGGGCAGCAGTGTGCAGAACTAAGTCAGTTAGTCTCAGCTAGCTGACAGAGGACCCCTGAGATTCAGGCTGAATTCTGGCTGCAAGGCCCAAGTTGAGGTCCTTGACCTCCTGCAGGGTTGAACTCTGCAAGGTTCTACTACAGATTCCTGCTGCCTTTTCCCTGAAGATCGTCCACGTTCTGATGGAAGGTGGTGATACCTCCAACTTACCAACTGCAGAAGTTTAATGTACCATTATTGCAGCTGTTCACTTCTGTTTTATCTTTTGGAGCTCAGTAAAATGGCCTTTATGACCACCTGGGCCTCTGCAGTGTAGGTCCAGGGACCAGCACAACTAGGCAGCCTGAGAGCATGGGGTGTGTGTGTGGAGGCCTGGGCATTCCTCATCTGTCTGCTCCAATGAAGGCCTGGTCATTGTGGGTGGGTAGTGGTGAGCTCCCAGTGTAGCTGGGCCAAGTATGTAGTACATTGTTGGATCTTGCTTCTTGATCCATTCTACCAGTCAGTTTCTTTTGATTGGTGGATTGAGACCATTAACATTGGTGGTTATAACTGATATGTTGACTTATCCATGTCATGACCTCTACCTGTTGTTGGATTCTCTCCCTTTGAATTTAATTTCTTGTCTTGACTGATGGATTAATTTTCTTGGGCTTTGCAGGGTTGTAACCCTTATTATTTTTTCCTAGGATATTGTTTTAAATTTTTTGGAGTGCTGGTTTGGTATTCATGAAGTTCCTTATGTGTTGTTTATTGTGAAAATATCTTATTTCACCATGAATTTTGAAGGATTGTTTTTAAGGTACATCAATCTGGATTAGAGGTTGTTTTCTTTTTAGGGTTTGAAATGCTTCACTCCAGGCTCTTTTTGACTTAAGCATTTTTGTTAAGAAGTCTTCTGTGATTCTGATAGGCTTTCCTTTATGTGTGATTTGTTTCTTTTTTCTAATTGCTTGTAGTATTTTGAATTTCTGTTGGGTTTCTGCTATCTTGACTCTTATATGCCTATGGGTAGATTTCTTTTGATTACAGCTAGTCCTGTATGCCTCACTTATCTGTATGTCAAATTCTTTTCCCCTGCTTGGGAAGTTTTCTACCATTACTTCTTTGAACAATTTTTTAAAATGTCATTTGCACTATCTTCTCTTTCTTCATTGACTCTGATCAGTCTTATGTTATTCTTCTTTGATCATCTAGCAGCTGCTAGATTTGTTTTTCATGGTCCCTTGCTATTTTAAAGAAATCTTTCTTTTTTTGGTCACTAATTGGAGTCCTGTCTTCTATATCTGATATTCAGTCCTCATATCGGCTCATTCTCCTGCATAAACTTTCAATGAAGTTTTTAATCTCCTCGATATCTGTTTGAATCTGTTTTATGAATTCTACTTGTTTCCATTGCTGGGTTTACATCATGTTTCTGAGATCCTCTATTTTTGGGTCTGCCCTAGAGTTATTAATCATGTCTTCCACTATGGACACCACCTCTGTTGTTATTTGAGAATTTTCTTGTGATTTTTTTTTCTAGATCTTCTTTCGTTGCCAGTTCAGGGAGTCCAGGTGGTTGAGCTTCAGACTGTCCCATGCTGTTGCCCCTTGGAGTTGCCTTTTGTGATTTGGAAGTCTGGATTTCAGTCTCTTTTAGGTATTTTCTCATTTCAACTGCTACTGTCTACCGCACCTTTATTGAGGTGACTCTTTGCTCTCCCACTGGGCTTCAATTCTCAACAAGTCTGGGAGCTGCCTACTTTCTATTTCTACTGCTTACCATTGCTCCGATTCCTGGGTTCAGAAGGATGGACTCTGCTATTGTCTGAAAGGACTTCTCACCAGAGTGTGCATGCCTGTGCAGCTGTTATGTGTCCACACACATAACATAAGCTTCTGTCTGTGGCCTGTGTGTCTGTGTAGCTGTTGTCTGAGCAGGGCTTTGGCTGGGGCTGTTTTCTGTGTGAAAGTTTTATGAATTTGTATCAGACTCTTTCATTTCATAGAAGTTTCAGTCCATAATCAGCTGACTCCAAGGCAGCAATGACAAACAAGTACAGCAGAGCAGAAACAGCATGGTGAACACAAGGCAGCGAATCAACAAGAGAGAAAGGTTATTATTTTTCAGAGCCAAGTACTTGTCTGTCTCCACTTGGGGGCCCCACTGCATTTTTGGGCAGCAGAAGGATGGTAATTTCCTGGCAGAGAGTACAGGGAACCCTAAAAGTGGGAGGGAAGTACTGAAAGGAAAAAGGGGAACTCTGGGCTGGTCCCAGCTTTGCAAAGAGTGGACTCAGGGAATACTTGTGTGTTTGGAAAGTACTGCCCACTAATCTTTCAACTTCTCAGTATTGTGATTCAGATTCAAACCAGAAAGCATTCAAGCTAGAAGAGACTTAGATATCTTCTTGGTGAAGATTTTGATGCCCCCAAAGATGAAATAACTTGTTCAAGGTTTTACAGAAAATTAAAAAAAAGAAGAATGTTCAAAGCAAAGGGTGCCTCTTCCCTCAGGCTGCTCAGTCTAGACTGGATGGATTCTCTTCCTCCAAGTGGATGAATTTGGTAAATATTTGTGAGCATTTTCATCTGGAGGAAAGGAAAGATAAGCATTGCTTTCCCATATAACCAGAGATCCGTTGTCCTAGTATTATTTTTGGAAAGCCTTAGTGAATGCTTCTGAAGATAGGTACCTACTCTCCCTGAATTGCATGGTGCTCTCAGTGTTAATGTCAACAGGAAGCCTATTATTAAAAATATCAAAACAGCCTTAATACTGTCATGATAGTCATAGTATATTTGTCAGACTGCCAGCCTGTTTTCATTATTGCTTTATGGTCACATGAATCCTTAGCTTTTTGGCCTTACATACTATTTTATTTTCCTCAGCAGGCTTTTCCTGTCTGGAGCAATCCAATTACATGGGTGATTGTGGATTACTTTTAAAATAGGTCACTGTGGTGCCAAAAATGGAGGGGAAAAGGCAATCAAAAGGAGCAGTTGTGCCATAGCTTAGCCTCATAGTGGTCAATCTGACATTTGACTTGCTGATCTAACCCGATGATTCTTCTGGGCTGGTCCTTTGTGTTTAGAGGTGAAACTTTCAAAGGTGGTTGGACCATGAGACGTCAACCCCATCAATGGATTAGTCTACAGATGTGCTCATAGGTGAGTGTGCTGTTAGGAGGCAGGCCCTGGCTGAAGGAGGAAGGCTGGGGGTTGGGTCTTTGAAGGGCATCTTTTCCTCTGTGTCTTTTAAACTATCTGTGCTTCCAGCCACAGTGAAGCGAGCAGCCTTCTTCTGAGATTCCCTTCCACAAGGATGCTCTGCTTTGGAATCAGCTGACCATGGACTGAAACCAGGAGCCAAAATAAGTCTCTGCTCTGTTTAAGTTGTGTACAGCAAGTATTTGGTCCCTGCAAACACAAGGTGACAATAATTGTGTTTCCAGGTTTTGACACGTACAGCAAAATTGTACACAGTGTCCTGTCTCACTTCATCTTTGCTGCTATAGAGTGGGCTGTAAAATCTAAGCTAAGGAAGCAAATATTTATTAATGTCCCACTTATTATTGCAGCTTGGAATTACAGGTAAGTAATCTATCCCCAAATGGATGTCCTCATTTCCTCCAGTTTTGTGATCAGTTACTTTGTCTTGGAAAGGTATTTCACCTCATTTTCTTCTTCACTGTATCATATTTAAATAGTGCTATCTGATTTAAAAGGGAAAACATTGGACCATATTTTAAATGTAGTGTCAGATATATTTCAAATTTTCTGATGAGCTAAGGGAGTAAGTACAAATCATAGGAAATATGTTCCTTATAATAAAATCCTACTCCATATCAAAGTGTACTTCAAATTCTAAGATGTCATAGGTGATAGGAAATAGAGATTTGATTGGGAAAAATATAGAAAAATTGAATCATGGACTCTGGTGGCAAAACCAAAGCAGAGTGAGAACAATGCACAGGGTCCCATCCAATAATTTCAGCCAATCCTTTTGTGGTAGAGTTTTTACTACTGAGTTACAGAAATACTTTAAAAAATACATAGAATGGGCAGAGGATTTAGCTCAGTGGTTCTGCCACCTGCCTTGCAAGTGCAAGGTCCCAAGTTTGATTCCCAGTACAAAAACAAAACAAAACAAAACAAAACAAAACAAAAAACAAACAAGACACAGAATGTAATGATATTAAATATTTTTTAAACAGCCTAGGACTTTGTCCAACATTGGTAAGTATTCCAGAGGGTTCCTGGTTTGACGTGGTCTGTGACTGGAGGGTAGGGAGACAAGGTGGGGTGCTCTCTGATGACGGTGCAATGGTTGTGGAGGGGTAGGAGAGCAGATTTGACGTAATACAGCACTACTTCTTGGAAGATAGTCTGGTTCTATCCTTATTTTTCAAAATAGTAATGCAGAGAATGCCTGGAACCTGTAGAAAGAGTGCTTCCTTAATGGAGCAACTCCAACCGATCACCCTTCGAGGAGAAGTGCAAACAACGGGGCGCTCTCCAGGACCATACAAAAGCTTTCCTAAAATTTAACTACCTGCCGTACAATCTATCTCAGTACGGTTTGCTACATTCTAAACGCTAATGATAGAAGACGGGGAACTGGTACTCTTTTTTTCTTTTTTTACCTAGTAGATGTAATTCCCCTATCCCATTTGCCCATATTTAGAAATGATATCAATATCTCTTAACACCCCCGTAGCATGGACATCAACCAATCAAAACAGATTCCACTTTACAAACAAGCTGGGTAGGCATGTTGGTGCATGCCTACTGAAAATCGGCTCCGCCCAGTGAGTGCTTTCTGTGTAGACACTCTTGGGTGCAAAACCTATCAGGGAGAAGCAAAGAGATAAGCTCGGTGGGCTCAGTGCGCTGCCCAGAGGCATCTGCGGGAATGCAAATCAACAGCAAAACTAGCTGTAAAGGACATGGGAAGAGAATCAGTGAAAGTCTTGTCCCTAGAGTCTTACTCCGAGAACTCATTGCCTCATTGACTCTTTTGTTTTCTTGAGAGGAGATGGAGCTTTCCTTCTGTCCTATTAAACATTTCCAGGCGAGTAGGATGAAGCCCAGGCCCAAGTCCTCCATACATTTAGCAGGGTAAGAGCTGGTTTCCCTAGAGCTGGGGGCCCCTGGCAGTATTTTTGTTATGTGGTTCCAGTTTTCCTCTGTGGTGTCTGCAAAGAAGGCGAGGAGACTATCTCATCCACCGAAGAACACACTGAGGTATTCACGCAGGTTGAGCCACACCTACTACTGAACCCTGTGCTGTTTGGGCTTCTTGTATACAGTCACGCACCCCTTTTCTTGCAAAACCCATGGCTAACATGGTCCCAAGTGGTTATTTTACTCACCTGGGACTTCTTTTCTGGATCCCAATTATTGTTGGAGCAAAAGTCCCACAGCAGCTGTCTTGCTGAACCTTTGGAGCAAGTGTCAATAATAAATTAAATGTTCTTTTGAGTTCCTTTTAGCCCTGAAAACTTTCAAAGGGATTAGCCAATATAGCTCAAGGAATTGAATTCAGATAAAATAGAAAAGCTTTAAAATAAATAAGCCTCTGACCTCCAATCTGGCTTGAGCCCCAAAGAAATAAAATGGACCTGAAAAACATGTCATTTTCTTTTTGAGCATAAAAGAAACAGCTAATCCAGTCTCTGACTGCTTGGTTCACGGGTGATATTGAGTCCTGGCTAATGTGGTAGAACAGGTCAGGAGGGCTGAGGTCTGGGCTGCACTCTGCCAATGGGTAAAGAAAAAAAGAGGTAGGCTGAAGGGGTCCCTGAGGTAGAAAGTTTTTAATCAGGATAAAAATAACAAGAGTGTGTAGAAAGGAATGTTTCCTTAAGAAGCTTAGTAAAAACAATATTGAGGATCATATAATAATCCTGTTTAGTTGTTTGAGAAACCAGCATGCTATTTTCACAGCAATTCTTCCATTTTAAATTCCTACCTTCCTTTACATCCGTGCCAAAATTATTTTTTTAATAATAGCCATGGTATTTTAATAACAGCTATGGTATTTTGGTTTATATTTCCCTATAACGAGAAATGTTGGGCACCTTTTCACTGCTTGCCTGGCACTTGCACATTGTCTTTGGAGAATTACCTTAAGTCCTTTGCCTACTTTTAACTTTTTGTATTGTAAGGGCTCTATTTATTCTGGATATTAACTCCTTCTTTGCATATGTTTCCTGTTATTACAAAGATTGCCTCTCCACTCTATTGGCTGTGCCCTTTGATGTGCAGAAGTTTCAAATTTTAATGTAGTCCAGTTTGACTTTTTATTTTTGTTGCCTATGTTTTTGGTACTATATCTAGGGAATCTTGCCAAACCCAACACAATAAAGCTGTTCTCCAGTTTTCCACTAAGAGTTTTACCATTCTAGATGCTATAATGTACGTCTTTGACCCATTTTGAGTTAATTTCTGTGGGTGGTATAAGGTTAAGTTCTGACTTTGTTCTTCTGCATGTTGATAGCCAGTTTTCCAGCATCATTTGTTGAAGAAATTTTTCCCATTGACACTCATTGAAAATTATTTGACAATAGATACAAGAGTTTTTTTCTGGGATTTCTAACCTATTCCAATAGTCTATATGTCTATTTTTATGCTAGATCTACCCTGTGTCGATCATTGTAATGAATTTTGAAATCATGAGATGTAATATCTCTAACTTTGCTTTTTCACTTTCTTTCCTACTCAACATTCCTTGATATTTCATGTGACTTTTAGGATGGACTTTCCTACTTGTGCAAAAAACCACCAGTGAGACTTTGCTGGAGGCTGAACTGTGTCTGTAGATCACTTTGCATAGGGTTGACACATGAGCAAGAGTAAGCCTTCTGATTCATAAATATAGGATATCTTTTCATTTACTTGTCTTTTAGTTTCAGCAACATGTAGTTTTTACTGTATTCATCTTTCTTTTCCTAGATTAAATTTCTTTCTTTAAAAATTTTTTGAGATAGGGTATTGCTATGCAATTCAGACTGGCCTCAAACTAATTATATATATAGCCCATGTTGACCTCAAACCCACAGGGATCCTCCTGATTCAGTCTCCAAAATTCTGGTACTACAGACGTGTCACTCCTGGCTATTTCTAAGCATTTTACTCTTTGTGATGACATTGTAAATGGAATTATTTTCTTCGTTTCTTTTTCAGATTGTTTACTGTTAGTGTACAAAAATGCAAATGATTATTTTGTGTTGCTTTTGTACTTTACACTGCAGTTGAATTAATTTATTCTAACAGTTCGTATGTGCATAAATGTATGTGTGTGTGTATTCATTAGAGTTTTATATGTGCAAGACAATGCTGTCTGTGAACAGAGGTGTTTCCATTTCTTTCTTTTCAATTTGGCTGCCCTTTACTTCTTTTTCTTGCCTGATTGGTTTGGCTAGGACTTCTAATGTCACAATGTTCACTAGGGGAAAAAGTGGCATTCTTGCTTTGCTGCTACTGACCTCAAGGGAAAGATCGCAGTCTTCTGCTATTCAGTGTAATGTCAGCTGTGAGCTTTTCATACACCACATGGTATTTGTTTGTTATGGTGGTTTACTTTCATTGCTAGTTTGTTGAGTTCTTCTTTAAAAAGAAAAAAAAGGATGTTGAGTTTTGTCAAATTTTATCCCTGAATTAGTCAAGATGATCCTGTTTTTTTCCCCTTCCTTTACTGTGCTGCCAGCCTCGCAAACAGAAGGTCCTGAGTTCAATCCCTGGTACAAAGAAAAAAAAAAAAAGTGCATTGACAGTGAACCTTTTAGAGATGAGGGCTCAAACTGCAACCCCTAACCCACTTATTTATCACAAAGTGCCAACACTGCAATTCAACCTGAATACTGAGGTTTTAGTTTAGAAAAAAACAACTCATACATTAAAATCTGTTGTCTTGAAAGAAAAATAGCATGTGGACATAGGTTTTCCACCACTGATATAGTGTAGTACATTGATTTATTTTCTGATGTTGAACCATCCTTGTGTTCCAGGAATAAATCCAACTTGGTCAGAAATCTTAGGGTTTTAAAAACTGCATATATATTTTGTTAGTGTATATTAATTTCATAAAGTATTGAGTTTTGTTGTAGTATTTTATATATCCATACAACATACTTTGATTCTCTCCCTTCATTACCCTCTCTTATGCCCTCTTACACTTTTCTCCCTCCCTCGTGCCTTCCTTTTGTCCAATAGTTTCTTTTCTAATTTCATGTCTCCTTTTATCTAATAAAATTCTATTTTTTCCCTCCCCATTAAGTTTAGTGGTACATTCAAATCAAACAATACAGTTATATCTATCATTGGGATCTTGAACTTTTACACCATAGGTCTTGGTTCTTGTTTTTTCCCCACACCCCTGCCCTCTTCACCCACTTCACCCTTCCCTATTTATAAAATTCCTATTTATTGAAGTGATTTTTTTTTGTTTGTTTGAGATAGGGCCTCACTGTGTAGTTCAGGCTGGCCTTGAACTAACCATGTAACCCAGGATAGCCTTGAACTTGCAGTGATCCTCCTGCTTCTGCCTCCCAAGTGCTGTGATTACAAGCATACACCACCATGCAAGGCAGTGAATTTTAATAACTCACACTCTTTCCTAGGAAATTATTCATTTTATATAGGTTTTCAAATACATTTCATGTAAATATGCATATTTATAATTTATACTATTTATAGCTTTCTTTTACCATGATAATTACAACAATCAATTATTTACATAAATGTAGCTAAGAGTGTTTTTACTTAAAAAGTAAGTTTGGATTTATTGATGAAGTCTATGGCCTACCTTTTCTTATTAATTTATTTCTGCCTTTTGTCTTTCTAATTTTCTCTTTTTTTGGCCCAGGGATTTAGCTCAGTGGCACCATGCCTGCTGATCCTGCGTTTGATCACCTACTGCTGGAAAAAAAAATGCCTTTTCTAATTTGTAAGGCTTCTTTGTTATTATTTTCCCGACTTCTTGCCTGATGACTTCACTTTGGAATACTTCTGATGGAGACGCTTTCACAGACACAGGTGCGGGGAAGGGGCTGTAACAAATGTGGGCGGAGGTCAGTGACTTCAGCAGTCAGCAGGCTGCTTGTGGAGGTGCCTTTCCCCCCTTCTCCATAGTTCTTGTATTTCGTCCTGGAACCTTTGAAAGCAAACTGTAGATGGCATTTTATTTTATTTCACCATAAGGACTACAGTTTAGTTTTTTTTTTTTTAAAGACATGGTGTTGTTAAAAATAAGTACAAGTTCATTGTTGGGATCTTGTACCTCTACATGACAAGTCTTGATTCTCATTTTTCCCCCTTACCTCTGCCCTCCCTTCACCCCCTCCTCCCCTCCCCAACTGCAAACACTTTATTTTCATCTTTTCATTCTCTCACATTTTTTTCTTTTCCCTTTCCCTAAAATGTACCAATAAACTCAATTAAAGCTGAAAAAAAATAAGTACAAGTTCATTTACTTTGCGTCTTTCTTATTTCATATCATCTGAGCTCAGATTCCATACTTTTCTTTTCCCTTCCCTTCCCTTCCCTTCCTGTCCCCTCCCCTCTCCTGTCCTTTCCTTTTCTCTTTTTAGTACCAGGAATATGCACTTGCAAGGCAGGCAGTGGCACCAAGCTAATCCCCGGCCCACTTTTCTTTGGATACTTTTATGACCATAAAAATTATTAATGTCTACTGTGCTTATTGCCATTCAGTTTTAAACACTTCATACATTTCTGTTTGATTTATGCTTTAATGTACAGGCATCTGTATGTCTGCTTAAAATTTAACTGGTAGAAATTTGTTGCCAGTCATCTTGCTGTTTCTTTCTAGTTGTGTTCAGTGACTGCAGCCCTACAACGTATGGTTTGCCAAGTGTGTAGTATTTTGTCGATCAGACTTTGAGAGTAATGACGGTGCACACCTATTTTATTATGTGCTACATACTAAATATTTTCCATTTGTTAACACATTTAATCCCCACTAAACCATGTGAGGCAGGGCACACTTTTCCTTTGAAATGGTATATAATCGGTGTTTACTGATTTTACAGTTCTCTATTTTCTTGTATTTGTTAACTGTATTCAAATTTCCTGTACCCTTAGGTTTTTGCTGACTTAGGAACATTTTAATGTTTCCCATTATGATAACAGATTTCTATCTTCTTATATTCCTATCAGCTTTGTTTTCTATACTTAAGAAAACAATATTTTTCAATATTCTGGATGTTTTTCTTCAATTTGGAATGTATGCAACTGACATTGCCATTACTGTACCTCCGATTTCCTTGTGATTTCCTTCCTGCCCCTTGATGAAGACTGTCTCCTTGACCGAAGTCTTGTCGGCCTTTTCTGAATCCTCTTTGAAGAAGGCCTGGAGTTTTGGGATTCGGCACCCACCTTTACAATGCCCAGTTTCAGAAATGAATCCACCACCCTGGATGTGTGCTCACTCTTCATATCTGATCAAATCCCTCATCCTTCCCTTACCATTGCCTAGATGATTATCGCCCTGGGCAACACTCATCACGAATCTTGTTTCATTTCTCCCTACCCCGTACTTTTCTCTTAGTCATTTTCTACCCACGTATCCTACCTTCTCTTTGCCTGTAAATTCCCACTTGTTGTATTTGGAACTGAGCCCACTTTTATCCCAAATCTCTTTCTCCTTGCAGTAGTTCCTCAGCAGGTTCGTGTTTTTTCTTTTTCTTTTTCTTTTCCACTTTAACTACTTACTCTTTAGTTTCTTTATCTTCCTAATCTTTTCTTCTTTTTTCCCACCTTCTTTTCCTTTCCTTCATTTTCTTTTATTTTTTCCTATGATATTTTTCCTTATTCATTTACTGTCAACATTTCTTGTCATTTTTTTATCTACTACCTTATATAGCATAGAAATAGACTGAAAAATTCCAGCCCCATATTATCTTTCATTAGAAAGCTATAACTCATTAACATATACAGTGATCAATGGATGCTTGAATTTATTCCTCCCTTTTATTATGTTTCTATTTACTATTCCTCTTTGTAATTGTTTTCTTAAATTTTATTCTCCTTGTTTATCTAATTGTTTAGAAGTGAAACAACTTACTTTTTAATCTTCTTATGGTTACATTTGTATTAAAAGAAAACCTTTAAGTCTATTGTATTTTCTAGCTTAGAATTGTGCCCTTTGGTTCTTTCTAGTTTTCTTAGTGTTGTCTATTCTGAGGCCACTTCATCTTTATTCCTGTTGAGATCATTTTTTCTTCAGTAAGACATAATAAGCCAATTGTGAAGGCTGTTGCTCGCCTTCAGAAGGTAATTGCTCCCATGACAATCCTGTCTTTGGATTTAGGGAGTCTTTTGATATTCCCAGTAGCTCACAATTCTTAGAGCAGAGATTCTGGTCTGGTTAATATTTTGCGATGCTGACCCTTCAGTCTAGGCAGTGGGTCTAGCCAGGAAATAATGGTGTTTCCTGACTCTTGAGCTCCCTCCTTGTTTTTTCATCCCCTAATGTTCATCCCTGTCAGAGTCTGCAAAGAGGATCAGAAATCTTAGTCCAGGTGATATTTGTCTTAGGCACTGGGGAAAAACCTCAAATGGCTAAAAGGGAAGGTTGAATCACTTTATCATTCTACTTACATTGCTCTTCTTGTCTTTACGCCACTGATTATGGACAGCTGACTATTTTGGAGAAAGGAAGAGAAGTGGCATCTTAGTAACGCTACTTCCATGGCACTTAGTATTTTATTTTCACAGTCCCCATGATTTAGTGAGCACCCGCGATGTGCTAAGCATGGTCCTGGAACTGCAGATACAGGAAAGGGATCCTCAAGGGGTCCACAGTCGGGCAGGGACCCAGTCCCGTGAAAACAGGGCCAGGGAGGGAGGCTCTGTGCGTGGGAACGTGTGGCGGCAGGAAGGGTGAGCCGCTGATTCAGCCAGAGGTGGGAAATCCGTCCCAAACAAGGTAATTCTGATTGAGTGTTGTAGGACGTTTAGGAGCTCGTCAAGCTGAAACGTGACAGAAGTATTTCAGGCATGGGGAACTGCACGTTAACAACTGAGAGGTGAGCAAGCGGCAGGCTGCCCACACCAGAGAGTAGCAAGGCCAGTGGAGAAAGGGTGGAAAAAGAGACTGCAGAGGGAGGCAGGATCTGAATGTGAAACTTGCTTTGGCTGCGGAGTTTGGATTTTTGTCCTGAAGGAAATGAGGAACCACAGAAATCTGGGATTACTTGCTTAGGCTGGGGGAGAGAGTACAAGAAGTCCAGGGTTTATTTCATACTGTATGATACAGTAGCAGGGCAAAGGCCCTGGATTCAATCCCAAGTACAGAAAAACAAAAACAAAAACAAAAGTCAGAATCCTGGCTTACAGGACCCTAAGAAGGAGAAGTAGGAAGAACATACCTGAGGTTAGAAAGCTTAGAAAGGTTTTGGGTGGCCATCAGGATGGAACAACCGGTTTGAGCAGTTTGTTAGGAGGCTCTTGTCCCGACCTCGGAGTGTGGGAATGACACTTGGACCTAAGACTAGGGCTTTGAGACAAAGAGAAGACGACACAGGTTTGTGGCAACCTGAGAGGCTCGGGGAGTCACACATCGGGTGAGGAGGGACAGGGAAGCGTTAAAGACGTCCTCGAGGCTCTGTCTTAAAATTGAGAATAGAAGGATGATGGTGACTCCCCAGAGATCTGTGCCATACTTCAGGGTTTAATAATATCTGTATTTCTCTTTGATTGAAAAATCCTTACTTCTAAGTTGGGTCTTACTCGCTGCATTTTATAAATCTGTAAACTACGGTACAAAGGTGTTACATGACCTTTTCACATCAAAGCCATGTTTCCTGGTGTTAAGTCTAAGGCCCTTTTACCACCCCATATCCATTTTCAGTGAAGAAGAAAAACTGTAGGAAGCATTTGTGGCAAAATTTCTACTATTATTAATAAACTGTGTGATAAGCAAGATGCTTTTAGCAAAAAGTTTTATAGGAAAATAATTTAAAATTTGCAAAAAATTTGAAAATAAGAATAATATAAAGAACACCCACATACCCAATGACTAATTTCATCTATTCACATTTTACTCCAGGTGCTTTATAATTTATTTTCTTGATATTTTTCTTTTCTGAACTATTTGAGTAGCACGCATCATGAATCTTTATGCCTAGTGTACGTTTCCTAAGAACGGGGACAATCTCTCACAGGAGTATAGCTCAGTTATGAACTTTATAAATTTTCATTGGCACAATATTTTATCTAATATACCTTCCATCTTCCAATTGCGTCAGGCATGGCCAGTCAGAGCACCTCAGTTAATGACCAGAAGCTGTTTCTAAGTTATCCAGCAGAGACCGTCTAGAGTTATTTCTCTTGTTACTCATCTGACTATACGATATGACACACCAGACTGTCTCAGATTCTGTCCATCTATCTTGCAATCTTCTGTCCATTCCATCATATCTGTATCTTCCTTCTCTCGTTCCCCTCCCCTTCCCTCGTCTCTTCTCTCTCTCGTTTTCCCCTCCCCCTGCTTCCCTTCTTTCCTCCTCCCCCTCCCCCCTTCTCCTCCTTCCTCCTCCTCCATCTTTGGCAGGCTCACGACCAAGTCACGAATATCACAGTAACCCTCTAATTTAGGAAACATGTACCAAGTTCTCTATGCTGAGCATTTTCCGTACAGCAGCTCTACAGGAAAACAACCCAAAACAACACAACATGATGTGAACAGTGGGCTCCTTGGTATATGGACAATGAGTTCCATGGTGAGAACTGCAGGCTCCATTTTACAGGTGGGAAATGTCATCCAGAAAGTTAAGAAGTCTGAAATTAAAGTGTTGAGAAGGCCATGTTCACTCCTGAGAGGGATTGTTCCTTGCCTATTCCAACTTCTAACTTCAAATGTTCCTAGGCTTGTGAACACATTGCTCCAATTTCTGCTTCTGTCTTCACAAGGACTTCTGTACTTCTGTGTGCATCTCAAGTCTCCCCCTTCCTTTCCTCTTTTAAGGATCAGTTACACCTGCAATTGGGTTTAAGGCCCATCATATAATCCAGGATGATTTCATTATATGATTCTTAATTATATCTGCAAAGACTTATCCCAAATAAGGTCACATTCAGATTTCAAGCAGAAGCATCTTTCGAGGGGCCGCTACTCTATGCACTACGTGGTGTGTCTTAGTCCATTTTTCGCTACTATAGCAGAATACCAGAGACTGGATAATTTATAGGGATTTATTTAGGTCATGGTTCTGGAGGCTTGGGAGCCCAAAAGTATCTGGCAATTGTTTTCATGGTAAATCATCCCATAGTGTAACAGCAAGAATGGGCCACATTTGGTTTTATAACAACCCACTCTGGTGATGATGAATCCATTCCCACGGTAATGACCTTCGTCCATTCAGGAAGGTGGAGCCCTCAAGCTGAGTAGGTCCCACCTCCCAACACTCCTCTGTCGAGGATGGAGTTCCTAATACGTGAGCTTCAGGACGCACATTCAGACAATTCCATGGAGCAGTCCTTTATCTACTCATTCACCTGACGGTTTCTTTTGAGCACTAATATAGCTCGGAAATGTGAGAAGTACAACGAGGATGTGGACACAGATCCTGTGGTTGGCAGATGTTACAGCTTTACTGGAAAACAGTGAGTTTTGTGGTGACGCAGCTATCGATGCAGTGGTGTGGGGGCCTGGAGAGGTGGGGGATGAACCAGCCTGGGCGAGATCAGCCCGGAGAAGGAGGAGCTTCGTGGCAGACCTGAGCTTTGAACTGCATGCAAAAGAGAGACTTTGGACTTTGAGCACGTGAGGATGGGACATTTCAGGTAAGAACACAAGGGTGAGGGAGGCTCAGAGGCAGGCAAAGATGGGTGCTTCCAGGCGGTACTGAGACAGCACATGGTCTGGAGCATGGGGCTAGTGGAAGTTCGCAGCGAGGGTAAAGGTAGGGAGGTGATCTGAGGACAGAATTGGTGACCCCGAGTGGGTTTTAGCAGGGAGTTTTGAACGTGGGTGTGACATGATTAAAAACTTTCATTTGCAAAGACAATATAGGCGTCATACGTATGAGCTGAGGTGGAGAGAGATTTAAGATGGAAAAGCTGATTCAGAGACTATTGCTTTAGTCATGGTTAGCAGTAAACAAAGTAGAAATATATTTCAGGGAGAAACTGCAGCAGTAGAATCATAAGGAGCTGGTAAAGGTAAAATAAAACCTGTCTGAGGAAGGTTAGGGGGTTAGAAGGGAATGGTTGATAAGGAGTCATTCTGGGCCCAAATAAAGGGGGCCACGGTGGGGCCATGAGCAGAAACAGGAAATGCAAGTGAGACTATGATCATGAGAGAGCGCCACGACTCACTGGGGGCACAGTCCACGAAAGCCTGGCAGACAGACTAGAGCTGGAGGCATGGACTTGAGATTATAGCACGCAGTGGTCCGTGAAGACAGAGAGGAAGGAGAGCATCAAGGGAAAGAAAGAAAGAGAAAGAAAAGGAAAGAAATCCTTAGATTTGAGACATAAGGAAGAAAAGGAGCCAGCAGAGGGGTGAGCAAAGTCAAAGGAAGAGTCACAAGAGAATGCTCTGTCTGGGGATCCCAGGGGCTGAGTTCAGAGGCAGCACGCTTTCCTGCACGAAGCTGCAGATGGGTGAGGAATGAAAACCAGGGAGGCCCGGAAGAGGCGGGGCCAGCAGAGGCTTGAAGGAGTAGGGCTATGGGTGGCAGGAAGTAGAGGAAGCATACATAGACGTCCCCTTGGGAAACGGAGAGCATAAAGAGGGATAGAGCAACAGTAATTGAAAGCTATCAGCACTTCTCACCCTCTTTGGGATTTATTTTTATTTCCAAATTGCAAAACATTGGTGCTAGATACCTTTTGGTGATCAGCTCGAAAAAGAAGCTCCGGGGAGGCAGGAAGGGAGTTGAGACTGTTGAGAGGCGCCTTTCTTCTCTTATTCTACTTTGACACCTTCATTTCTTTGTCATTGTCACAGTATTTTATCCAAATATACAAACATCGCAAACACGTTAAAACGTACAGTTAGAGCTCTAAACAAGATCGGCTACTGCAAATAGCATGCAGGGGTCGTTTATTCTGAATGATGCCTAAAGAGAGACTTGTCCCCAAGTCACCAGTAATGGATGATAAGGGATCGGTTTTCTTTTCTCTTAGAAGAATTATGCACTTCCTTTCCTTTCTTGTCAGGATGTGAGGATAGCAATGAATGACTTCACTGATGTTGAAGTCGACTGAGAATAGATGCACAGACAGGCTTTATTACTAGAAACAAAATGATACTACCTTCACTGGATTCTGAACTTAATTTGCATCGCAGGATAACCAGCATAGGCGTTCTAGTTGACCTTTCCTGTCCTTGGCATGAGCTCTTTCCATTTCCCTCTTTTCTGTGAATTTCATGGCTAATCAGAATGAAATGACTTGTAAATCTCAAGTTACAAGCTAGGTTTATTGTGAAGAATCCCATAAGAATTGATTCAGGTCTTCCTCCCAAGCCATTTCCATGTCCACATTTACACGTGCAGAAGAAAATGGGTTAGTGATTATTTGTCTGTGGCCGAGTCGGATCCACTCCCATCAGGCAATGGGCTGTTTCAGACTTGAGAAGTTTGTTCACTTTGCACCTTGACTTATTAAGTATTTCACCGATTGGCAGTTGGTGCCCAAGAGAAGAGCTATAATTTAAAGGAGTATTAAACTTTCAAATCCTTTGCAGTGTGGAGAGGCATTTTTTCAAGTAAATAACTAAGGTTAGTAATGACCTAACTTCAAGGGTGGTTGTGAAAAGATCAGGAGATGAAAAGAGGACATTGTCTTTAGTGAAGTAGGTTGGTTTCTGCTACAGGTAAAGAGTCAAGTGAGGAGCTAAAAGGTCTTAGCCTTTATTGCTGAGTGTTTCTTTTCTTTCCCAACTTGAAAAAGGGACCCAAGAAGTGTTGCTTGAACAGTTCTCAGCCAGGATGCAAATTCCTTCAAGTCTCTGGAGAAGTGCGGTTCAGGAGATGAGCCCTTCCATCCCTGGGTTCACAAAAGAAAAGTTCCTAAACATGTTCTGGTCCATGCTGTTGATCAGTGCTCCGTCAGCAAATGAGAGTCGGGGTTTCTCGTTCAAAAATTCCTTGTCGAAGTTGCTATAGTCATATGGCGATTTCTTGCATAGAGTTTAAGGGGGGAGACAAAGGAAAGAAAATCAGCCACTAAATCCACTATCTTAACATTGGTTACATTATCTGTGATCTGTGCATGACAAAGTCGGCATTTTCAGATTAAGCAAAGCTCAACTGGTACTTACAGATTATCAAGTATGGCTTGAAATGAACATCTCTGTGATCCTATCACCAGTTTCTTACTAGTACGATTAAAATCATGTGAAGCATACATTCAGTAGGCTCTAACTCTCCTAGAGTTTACATGAAGAATTGGCAACTTTAGAAAAAGTAGAGAGCCCAAATTTGGTCTCTCTCCTTTTATTCTACACAGGACAAAAGTGGGGGTGGGAGGAGAGAGAAGAGATAAAAAGAAGGAACATAGACAGTTATGTGTTCATGGTCTTTCTTCAAGATCCTTGGTGTTGATGGTTCCTCTACCTGTGTTAATTTTATTATCCTGTCTCATGGACAGAACACACAGAATGGAAGAGACTCTTTTCAGAGTGCTGGGCTATTGGTTCTCATGACCAAAATGGGGAGGCGGAGGGAGAGAGAGGCAAAGTAAAAGCAAACACCAAGCCAGGGATTTAGCTGAGTGGTGTTGCTGCCTGCCTCACCAGCACAAGGTCCCGAATTTGATCCCCGGTACCAAAAAACAACAAAAAACACCATAAATGCTCCTCTTCTAACCCCACTCTCAGAAAACAATGAGTTTCTTCAATATCAGTCATTTGGCTGGTGGAGGAAAAAAAAAAGGGATATCGTTCTTGTTTGCAAGACTTCTTAAACACTCATAAATACTGTTGCATGTGTTGCCCATATTTAAGCTCTGGAGGATGAGACTAAATTAGAAAAGGGAAGTTACAGAGACACGTGGTCATGCCTCCCCATCTGAGGAGGAAGAGTGGGCTGGTGAGGTTCATGGCCAGTGACCCCTATTTACAGATAGCTGCTCAGATCAGAGGCCAAGGAAATTCTTTTCTACTGGCAGAACTGGGAACTGTCCCATAGGTTAAGATTAGATCAAAGCATCTGATTTTTATGTGGGAAATATCAAGTCAGTTTTAATCTGCAATGGAAAGTCAGGCACGAATCAAGCTAAAACATGGCAAAAATTTGTTTTATCACAAACAAATGATTAACTATGTATTAGTAATGACATTATCACAACTAACTAAGGAGTGCTAAAGGCCAATCTGTTGAATATCTCCAGTGCTTGGACACATGCTGAGAACAACTATTTTAACCTTGGAAACAACACATTTGCATTTTTCAGCTATTCACTATCACAGCTGTGGCTGTTTTGTGGGGTGAAATCTTTCTTAGGGTACCTATGAGCCCTATACTCTTTTCAGGAAGGTAATGAGACATTCCTAGCCAGGTAATTACTATCATATTCTAAGAAATCACCAGGAACAGTTAAAAGCTCTACCATTTTGCCTTATTGAAAAGAATACTTTTTAAAAGATTGTGATAGAGTTAACATAAAATGTAACTTTTTTTTTTTTTAAACCAGGGATCGAACTCAGGACCTTGAGCTTGCGAGGCAAGGTCAGTGCCACTGAACTAAATCCCTGGCCCAAAATTTAACTATTTTTAAGTACACAATTCAGTGGCGTTAAGTGTGTCCATGGGCAACCACCACTGCCATGCACCTCCAGAGCTTTCTGCGTCTTCATTCGTCTGTGTTTCCGTGTTCACTTTCCAGTGGTTCAGCCTTTGTGTGAGCCAGGCTCTTCTGCCCTTTCTGAGGTAGGCTGGGGACTTCTGCTAGCCTATGTACATATGGGGATTTATGGATGTATCTTTTTATGAACACCGATTCCTTTTTCTTCCTTAAACAGAGGGCACCCTAATGATTACTCCTAGAGAATGTAGTTATGTGTACATAGTACTACTGTTAAGTAAATCTGAACACATATGGAAATACATATAGCCCCAAATTCCTCTCATCAGGTGTAGAATTTCTGGACAAGTTAGAGTCACCCAGACTATGACCATTAAGTATGTGTGTGTCGTGTGTAAAACCCCATCTCACCTGGCAGTCACCTACTGCTCACAAATGCCTATCCAACTTAAGTATTTCCAGCTGCCCATTCTTCATGCAGGAGCATTGGACTCTAGAAGTTAAATTTTGCAAGCAAGAAGGGTATCCTTTTTTTCCTCCACCAGCCAAATGGCCAGTATTGAAGGAGCTCATCCTTGTCTGAGGGTGGGGTTAGAAGAGGAGTCAGAGAGTGGGGAGGGGTCAGGGGAGGGGCTGTCAGCACTTGGTCAGGCCGCAGCCTGTGAGTAAGGGGAGAAGAACCGAGAGTGAACTGCCCGAGAGCGGCCCTTACCACTTTTGGCCTGAAAGGTGGGTCAATCTCCTTTCTCACAAGTTCTTCCCAGTTGATCTCGCGAAACAGAGGATGTTGGCGGATGTCTCCCCTCACTCCCAGCCTCTTTTCAGGTTCTCTCACAAACAGCTGAAAAGAAGCAAAGAGGGAGCCACTTACTTCCCCAGCTCTGGGCTGGTTAGCATCCGGTGGCCGTGGTATTTCTGGTACAACCACTCGCTCTTCTAAACTTATCTTTCTACTTGTTTTCCTGAAGACAGACTCAGGTCAAACTGTTCCCAGCACTCTCCGCTGAGTGAGCTGTTTTGAATATTCTGATGTTTGGGCTTTGACTGCCTTGCTCTTTGCCCTAGACATGTTGTATTTTAAGTTAAACAGATCCATCACGAGATCAGGTTCACTACGCGCTATGTACAGTATCTCCAGCAAGATCATCAGAAGCTCAAGTCAAGTCAGTTTTGTCACCAGTATGGTGAGCCAAGAATCCACCTCATAGGGCTGAGGATTAAATAAAACAGCAGCGCGCGCGCACACACACACACACACACACACACACACACACACAGCATATGAGGTGTGGTAAAAACATGGTGAATATTAAATTTTTAAAACATTTATTACTGCAACTTACTACAGTAAAATGCACATTGACGTCGACGGCCCTCACAATAGTCCCTGCCTTTGAACTCGCTTCCCCTCACTCCTACCACTGTCTGAGGCAGTTCTGGAAGTTCTCTTCGATGAGTATCTTTTGCCTCACTTCTGTAGCTGCCTTGATGTCAAGAACCGCTTCAGTATATTTACCTTTCATGGTCATTTTTGACTTGGAGGAGAAGTTAGAAGTCACATGGTGCCACATCCGCTGAGTACGGTGGATGAGGACACACTGTAAAATTTTGATGAGCCTGAGTTTTCTCTGCACCGCACTTGGCAACAACAGTCACTGCGTTTTAAAGTGATACCATGAGGGTTTAGATCAGGAACGATCCAGGAGCTCTTATGCGCTCAGAGGCAGGGCTCGTGGAAAGTAGCTGGATATGGGAGCTGACGTGCTGTTAGGGAGTGGGGCTAGGTTGAAGGCCGAGCGACCTGCAGGGCTGTATCTCTTCCCTGCCTCTTCCCTTCTCTCTCTGCTTCCGGCCACTTCTGGGTTCAGGCCTGCCGAACATGGACACACGAATTTGTGTGTCTCGTCATTTCTCTTACGTGAGAAACCCAATGGGCAGATAAGGAGCAAAATGGAGGACGGATATTGGGAAGGAGGAAGAAAATGTTCAGAAGGGAAAGGGAATGGGGGGCGGAAGGGAAAAGGGATTAGAAAAGAGAATGGAAAGAAAAGTGCAAAACAGGCTTCTGTAAGTGGGGAGGGGAATGGGGAAAAAAGAGGAATTGAGATATTTTTGTACAGGTACAAATTCCCTATGACGAATGGGAAAATTATGTGCGACAAACCAGTGTCTCAAGAATGGGTCCCGGACTAGCTGATGTTACGATGAAATACTTCAGAGAGTTAAGTCATAAGTGCGTGCTCACCAAGCCAGGTTTTACATTAGATTTTTTTTTTTTTAAGCAAATGGGATATTTGTACCAAGAAAATCGTAACGGAGTGCCCCCTGAGATGGACATACACACCTTTGGGGTTTAAATAATATTTTAAAAAGTGAAATAAGTAATAAGAAGGTAATATAACATCCAGCTCTAAAGTCCAGTATTCTCTCTAGTTTTACACAAAACAGTGAATTATGCCTTTTCTTCTGAACCAGAGTGACCTGCCCATGTTCCTGAGGGTGATAGGCCCAATGGGCGTACAGCACGACGGCCTCATGGCAGGAAGGTACAAGGAGACCCAGTTCACAAAGAAAGACTTGCTTTACTCCGTAGAAGCTGGCACAGGAGTGTTGACATTTATAGGAAATAGAACGCTCTTACACAAATGGCCAGGATGTAGCTGGAGTTTGTTTTCTTGACAGTTTGGGCCAGAAAGCAAGTTTCCAGCTGCAGAAGACAGCCACCAGCAGCTGCGGTACATTGTCCCCGAAACCCACTCTCCCTCCTCAGGATCTCCTCAGGTATATCTTTCTGTCAGAGGAAAGACAGATTGCTGTTCAAGATCATTAGTTTTCTATCATTTTCAAACAAATGGACAGGATATCCTGGATGAATAAATGGGAAGCAAAGGGCATTTCTCGGGCATTCGTCAGCCGGACAGCAGCTCCCAGCTGTGATTTCTGACAGCGCAGTCTCTCCTGACCGGCCACTGTCCTGTCGACCGTGCTACTCCCACCTGTGTCCACGGGGCTAAAGGGGATGGGCACAGGCCGACACTGAGGTCACAAAATGCTGCCTTGTTTAGATTTTGTAGAAGACCCATGACTTCTGGCTTTTACTACGTCACGAGAAGTCTCCAGCAGACTTTTTTGAGAAATGCTACTAACTTTGAGTTTTTGCAGAGAAGGGGCTAAGGACGTGTAGTTGGTTGTATCAAAGCAATGCGGCAACCGAGGAGTACAAATAAAAGCAGAAACCAGTCCAGCCAGCAGCAAGTCGTACAGTGGGAACTGATTTTTGTCACCTCCATTGCTGGACTACGTGCAAGACAAGAGAAATACCAAGCGCAGCCCTTCCGATTGACTTGCAAACCCTTTTCCCTACGAGTGCTTCTTTGTTCTTTTCTGCTTTCTCCGACCAAATTTATTTCCTACTGTTGTGGCAAGCCTATCTTCTGTCACTGATATTTTGTAAATATCTTCTTTTTGTATCTGCATGGCAGTTAACCTTACGTTTCGTCTTGATGTTAAGCTTTTCATTCTAGAATAACAGATCTACGGGACATTGAAAAGCCAGGACTGAGATGTCTTGTGTGCCCTCCACCCAGCCTCTCCCAGTGGTTACAGTCTCAGCACAGTATCAGAACCAAGAGCCGGGAATGAAAGGAGTGTGTGTCGGGGGATTCTGTCACATGTGTGGAAAGATACAAACACTGCCATGACCACAGATATCTTCCTCTTGATGCTGCTTTGTAGTCTTACCCGCTGCTCTGCTCCAACTCCCTAACCCCTAGCAATCGCTGGCCTGGTTTCCTTCTCCGCAGAGCTATCATTTCAGTCCCCTACCCAGACTTTCTCTCCCTGAGATGGCTGCTGGCCACTTCCTGCCGCACCAGTTTCTGCTGAGCCCCACCTCACTTCTGTCCCTGCTCCATCCTCCATTCTTGCTCGAGCTGGACTTAGAGGCACAGCAGGAAAGCTGGTCTTCACGAGGTATTGGCAGGTTTTGGGGTCTGCAGCTAGACCCAGGACCTCTGTCCTGAAGGTGCCCTCCACCTCTTTCATTTTTCCTTTACAGTGTTTTTGTTTGTTTGTTTGCTTTTCACCCCCAGCTTTTCAGTATGGCCCTCATGCTGTGGATGGAGTTACATCCTCTCAAAATTCACACGTTGAAGCCCTAACCCCCAGTGTGACTACGCACAGGGACTACAGCAAAGTAACTAAGGTTAAATGAGGTCATATGGGTGGAACCCTGATCCAATGGGCCTAGTTTCTTTATAAAGAAGAGAGGTCAGAGTGCTTTCCCTGTCTCTCTCTCTCTCTCTCTCTCTCTCACCATAGTCTCACGTGGTGACACGGGGACACAAAAAGAAGGTGAACCTCTCTAAGCCACTAAGTCAGTCTTCACCAGGGAGTGACCCCACTGGAATTTGATCTAGGACACTGAACTGCGACCTACAAAACTGTTATCATTGTCTGTCGTTCCAGTCACTCAGCCGGGACATCTTGTCACAGCAGGCGGAGCTGACAAACACACTTCACAACGCGTCCTTCCCAGTGCCTAATGTGAGGTAAAGGTAGCAGTGGTACTAATGATTAGACTTGCCTTTGTATAAAGTAAAACCTTGTAGTCAAGTCTCACTAGCTTATTTTTACTGCTGCCATCATTGCTGTTTGGTTAATTTTGAAATTAGCTTTCATTTCATGTGTATTATGTTCAGCCATTAAAAGTCAATTTAATGGGTCATTCAGGGAGTTTCTTGTTTATTGCTTGTCTGGCTCCTAGGAAGTGAAAGACAAATGGGACAGATTTTTAAACACCTTTTGCCATTACCTATGGGCTGGGTGGACTGCAAGGCTTTTTTAGCACCTCTCAGGTTCAAGACCTTGATTCCCAGGGACAGGTGTAGAGTTACCTCAGCATTTCTAATACCTCAGACAAGTTGTTACTTGCATTGGAGAGGTGGATGAGCACTGCCCTTTCAATTTAATTCCAAGTATTTTTTCAAGAGGAAAAAACCAAAAAAAGACAAGTGGGAAAAGATGGGCCTGGAAATATTTTTCTAAGTTTTGATTTAAAACTCACTGGTTGAAGAATTTATTTCCATGTTTAAGATAGTGATAGCAAAGCTAACAATTATCTCCCTAAATGATAATTTCAACCAGCTTACATGTGAGATTCTAGAATTTCCCAAAGCACTTATATTCTCGGTCTATTTCTTTTCTTTCTTTCTTTTGTTTTTTGAGACAGGGTCTCACTGTGTAGTTCAGACTGCTCTGGAACTCACTGTGTAGCCCAGGCTGGTCTCGAACTTGCAGTGATCCTCCTGCCTCAGCCTCCTGAGTGCTGGGATTACAGGCATGCGCCACCATGCCCGGCTGTACGTGGATTCTTAACATATTCTAGACTATCGTGAATGGAGGTCTGACTTCCATTTTGGTGGTTAATTCTGGGCATTGCTGCTAAGATGGTAACTACCACCCCGCTCAGAGTTTGTCAGGGTGAAGAATGCATCCATATTTCTAATGCAAAACAGTTAGGCATGCAGGGCAGAGCTGCTCTGTATGAATTTTCACAAGACAGTATGCTGGACAGGCAACAGACAGGGAAGAAAGTGCTGTTGAAATAGTTTTGGTACAGTACCTATACTAGGGAACAGAGTGACCAGCTTATATCTTAAAGGGTTCAGCCCAAAATGTCATCAAGCATAATTATTTCCAAAGAACATACACAGTGCCTGACATTATCATTGGCCAGGAGAATGAGATGAAAAATCACACATCTTGTCTAATATTTCAACCAGGGTAGAGAAGTTATGAACTAGAGTATTTTTCATATAGGAAACGAGAGAGTTTTAAGTCATAAATTGTTACTGCTCAATGGGCCATCTGCATCTCCATGTATAAGGACCTTTGGCAGTCATAGAACTAGTTTCTGAGCATCTCTTTTATAGATGGAGCACAAGAAGGGTATATCTTAAATTCAATTTAATGCCAGGGTTCTGTGTCGCAGGTAAAACACCCAGTGTGTTTCCCATTTAAATCCAGCTCAGTGCAAGGAGCGTGCGTCCTATCACACATAAGTTAGAATCTAGAAAAACAAATGGAAATATTAAACAGAAAAACCTAATGCCAATCATATAAAAATCCTCTTGTCTTGTCATTTGTTACCTTCACTAGAAGGTCCTTGGCTTCCTTCTGCAGCCATTGTGGGTAAAAGGGGTTGTCCATGCGGATAGAATGGAAAAGCTCTTCTTCGTCCTGCCCATGGAAAGGTGATTGGCCAATGAGCATTTCGTAGAGGAGAACGCCAAAGGACCACCAGTCAACGGAATGGTTGTATTTCTGACCCAGCAAGATCTGTGCAACCAAAAGTCAAAGACATAATTAGTAGAAGAATATGATAGCAGGTGACATTTCTGCCTTCCAGGGTACTCAGCAAGCCATGGGTGGTGACGAGAATACACGATTTCAAGGACCACACTGGAAACTGTCTTTCGACAAACTGATGCCTGGGCAGAAACGACTTCACAATGCCGACGTTTTTGAATTTGAGCAAACACTTTAGAGTTTTAATTTCTCCATTTCTTCTGGTTTTAAGAGAAACAATGGAACCATGACCTTAGCTTTCATTTTTTCCATCTGTGCTGGGAGGACTTGTGTGGCAAATATTGGACCAAAAAAAGCTAGCACGTGACTTAAGTTTTACAGTGCTTCTGACGCGGACACTAAATCAAGCCAGACTTCTGTTGTCTTGAGTCTGCATAGAATCTCTGTAGGAGGTCAGCCTGCAAAGACACTACCTGAGTCAGCCCTACCCTTCGAGCCGAACTACTCACAGCTGTTCTACTCAGGAGTCAAATCTGTACCACAGTTGTCCAAATCCAGAAGTGAGAGATTCCTCCAAGCTACACGTAGCTGTCATGCAGGCCCCAGGAGGAACCGGCCGGCCTTCTCTGCGAGGCAACGTGTGAGGCCTGGAATCCTACCTGACTTTCTAGAACATTATATCCTTTTACCACTTCACAGCTCTGGCAAAGAAAAGAAGTTTTACGTACTCGCTTTTAGCAACTTCTTTGTTTACTGTTGGAGGGTGCGGTGTGCATGCTCTGCACAGAATCTTTTTTTTTTTTCCAGCTTTGAGTTTATTGGTACATTTTAGGGATACAGTACAGTTACATTCATTGTTGGGATCTTGTACCTCTACGTGATAAGTCTTGATTCTCATTTTTTCCCCTTACCTCTGCCCTCCCTTCACCGGCGGGTGCGCGACCTCCCGGACTGCGCGACAACAGACCCAGCAAGGACCCAAAGACCCCGGAGGGGGTCTCTTCAGCTGCCTGCCTGCCGGAGATCATCCGGCGGGTGCGCGACCTCTGCACAGAATCTTAATTCAAATACGCCCTTAGAGGCCACATTCACACACAATTCCCAAGACTTGTCACAAGGGGGCGCCAAAGAAACCTCTCCGAGCCCCACATCCTTTGTAAATAACTTCGTTTTAGCAGAACAAATGGAAAGAGATTTGGGAGACGGGAAGACAGCTGTGGTAGAAATTAAACCTCTAAGGCTAGGGGTGCTCATAAAATTCTCATTCTTACACTAGGAGGAAAAAGCAGAGTGCAAATTCATACACAACACAATGCCAGCTGACCTCTAGTGTGTGAGGCATTTTCAGATACTGTGCCTTTATTTAGAAAAATGTCGTGAACTTGGTACTGCTATCCCAAGAGAGGGACTACTGGGCTCCGGGGCATGCGTTTCTTACTCACGGTGTGTGAGTGAGCGGACTGACTTACAGGTTGTTTTTTTCTTGGTACCAGAAATCAAACTCAGCACCTTGAGCTTGTCAGGCAGGCGTGGAGCTGCTCAGCCACATCCCGGCCCCAGACTGAAATGCGTATTCTAAATTCCATTCTTTGGAGATTTTACTGTACGTGTTCCTTTCATCTTACAGTGTCCTCCCGCCCTGTGCCTCTCTCTAGCGTGCTCAAGTGCATACTGCCCAGGTCTGGGAAAGAGAGCGGTGGGTGTCCCAGGCCAGGCTCACAAAGACAGCCTTCTCCAGCTTGCTAGCGTCTCTCCTTTTGTCTCCCTCTCCTCCTCCTCCATCTTCACCCTAACAGTTCAGAAGCACAGCCCTCAAAGCGCAACTCTAAGCTGGAGAAATCCCCACGGCATCACAACACGCCTTTCTTTCTGTGATCCATCCTTGCAGCTCCTTTGGCCCATGGAGTGTGAGCTTTCAGCTTTGCAGTCCCACACTCATCTGCGGCAGCACGTACTGGGGCAAGCGCTGCTCTAGCACTAAGTGACGAACGGCTCAGGACCGATATTGATTTGGTTTCCATGTGACTCTAACTTTTTTCCAAGAATTGCTTTTATGTACTGAAATCTCCTGTGGATGGATTGTGCTGCTAGCCTGCAGTAGAAAGTCGTATAATTTTCTGTGTAGCTGTGTCCTTATTATTTGTCAAAATAAACTCGGCCTCTCAGTACACGTTATAGACCTTCTTTACTCCTGCAATGGGACATGAGGGGAACGGTGGATCATGGCGGGGAGCAGTAGGTCTCAGGAGACGTGGCTGTGGGAAGCTCTGTCTATTTTTCAGGCACTGATGCTGATGGCGCCCTGAAATGCATTTACTTCTGTGATTTGAGAACTCCTGAGAGGAGAGATGTGTCTGCCAGGTAGGGTCCATGGTCTTTGTCTCAGCTATTTTGTGCCGCTCTGTCTTTAACTCTGTGTCTTAGCCAGGTGAATTGCTGAGAGTCAGAGTCTTCCCTGAAGAGCAAGTACTATAATAGGGAGAAACCAAGGAGAGCCTGAGACACAGCATGAGGCAGAGGTACTGAGGACGTCGAAGGGGATGAGACGGCTGTGCAGCTGCAGAGGAGCAGCTCGCCCACAGCTGTGCTTTGCTTTTGAAGGGGGAAGACAGTGGGTGAAGAAGTGATACTAAGGAAAAGTCTCACACAGTAGACGGCCTGGGGTGGGGCCTTGAAAAGGGAAGGATTTTGTGGAAAGAGAAGAGGAGGCTGGAGAAGTTACTTGGTAACAGAGTGCTGGGGTGAAGAACCCCGTACAGGTTTGAGATGGACTAGGATGCATGCCCGGGTATGGCCACGCACTCCTCAAAGGGGGCAGGAAGGCTCCGCTGAGCCCTCGGGAGGAGCTGGACATGGGGTGGGTACGTCTCTGTCTCTGGTGTACTGGACAACTGGAGACACGTGCTGTGATGGCACCAGGAGGGAAACAACAGACCCTTCCTAGAAGCCAGAGGGATTTGGGGGAGATTGGGAGGTGGGAGTAACACGGGCCAAGGGAACAGAATGTGTCAAGGCAGAGATGGCAGAGAAGGGCCCAGTCAGGGAAGGTACACACCTCAGTGTGACTGGACCTATTATTAGGCATCCATGCTTAGAACTCTGGCCTGTACTCAGTCAATCACGAAGACGTCCTGAAGATTCACAGCACCGGTGTGACAGGTGAGCATTTTACACCGGCAAATCTGGAAATCTTGTAGAAGAACAGCCTTCAGAGAGGTGGGTGATTGTATTACTCAGAGAGACATGGAAAGAAAACCAGAACCACATTTATATTCATTTAAAATATCTAAAATGAAAAAAAATGTAGTGTTCACCAATAGGTGCTATACAAGGGGCACTGATGCCCTCATTTAGAAGAGAAGAACAAGCGAGGTGTCCTGAGAAAGGATGAGAAACTACATCTCAGAAGCAGCTCGGTGGTACCTGGTGTGCGTTATCTTCCATGAACCCTGAGGCGCGTTGCCATTCCGGGTTGTGTTTTAACTAAGTGAGTTTGCACAAAATGACGAGTAATTAAAAGTTATCTGCAGAGAGCCTTAGATCGAAGGTAATATGGAAATAATAACGCAAACATTATATTTGGATTAAAGGCAATACTGAAACAGGTAATGAAAACATAGACGGGCTGAGAAATAGCATCACTGATTATCTCTCCTTGTATAACCTCTTCACCGGTCATGTGTGAGGAAACGAAAAATATCAAAGACCTCATTAGCTAAGTTTTAGCTAACAAGAGACTCAAAATAATTGAATGTGTCAAAAACATTGCTTCACGTTGTATACTAAATGCCCAACTGTCAGTGGTGATCCTTGCCTTAATTGTACACATATAAAGTTTTTCTCATATTAAACCTCTGTGAATTATCTTTTCCAGCCATGGGAACTAAAAATTGGAATAAATAAATCAGGTTTTCAAGATTTAAGAAAAGGTTATTTAATCTCATTACTTTAATAAAGCATAAATATTTTTGTACTGTTAAAATCAGGGGTGTTTGGGGCCCATGATCAAAGCTTTGAAAACGTGTAAATGTGTGTTGTGATGGACTGGGATGTAGGGAGGTTGTGTGAAATGTCTTAGAGTAGGTTAGTGTAGTAAGCACGGGAAAGAACTGGAGATTCTCTGAAAGGGATTAAACCAAAGGAATTCTTTTTTTGGGGTGGGTACTGGGGATTGAACTTGGATCCTTGTACTTGTGAGGCCGGCGCCAGAACCCCTGAGCTAAATCCCCGGCCAGGGATTCTTTTTGGTAAACAGAATAAAGGGAGAATCTTAATTTGATGTCAAGGTTGGAGGAATTGGGAGGTTCAGTTCTAGGAAGTCTTACTGTTTGGTTCGATCTGAGGAGTAAGAAAGAAGGAGGAAACATGGGTAAGACTAATAGTTTTCCATGTGTGCAACATGTGATTAATCAAGACAGGTTGAAAAAATGAAGGTGGATAGGTAAGTTCAGCAGAGACTGAATTGTGGACCTATTATCTGGAGAGATTCTGATGTTTACCGGCAGATCTCAAGCAGCAACACAGATTCATAGGTCTGGACCAAGGTGTCTGGACTGGACATTTTGGTCCTGGAGCTAAAATAGTGTCATAAACAAATCGTCTCCTAGAGAACATACAGTAAGAGGTGAGGGCCAAGCATGGAATCACATGGAGACAAGCACGCTCGAAAACGAGAGAAAGAGCGGAACTGCAAAGAGAAAAGGAGGTGTCTAAACGTCAGCTCTGGAAGGCTCAGAAGAAAACATAACCAGGAACGGGTATGGCACAAAGTGTTTGCCGATGGGAACGAATAAGAGCAAGGCAAACATACTAAGATCTCTTACAGCAGAGAGGAAAGCAACCGAGGCAGGTCCCCTGAGGTTGAGAGGATGACATTTAGTTGTGTAGGGAGATTCGAAGATGAAAAGGAAACCAATACAAGTCACTGCGTTATGGGGAGGACTGCAATAGGGCAGCCACCCGGTGGAATCTGATCCAAGCGAATAGAATCCAACCAAACGTGGGCGCGAGGCTGTGGAGGTTTCTATAGCAAGAGAAGATACGGGTTTAGTTGGCTGGCTGGCTGGATGGATGGATGGAGCCTTCTGAGCAAATGCTTTTCCTCAAGGTGCTGGGATGACAGTGGTTATTATTACCTTGTACTATTATTGTAACTTCGAGGGCTATGAGGTTTAACTTTCTGAAGCTCTGCTGCCTAATGTTTGCAGTAACAACTGTGGCGCTGTATCATACCCATTTTACCAAAGAGGAAATGAGGTCAGAGAGTCTCTGGCAAGCACTCAGTGCTCCCTAACACAGAGGCCGTGCAGGTCTTCCACCGCACAAGGAGCACCGCCCCTCACTTAGTCGGACGTTGTTTCCACTCGGTTTTTCACCGCTTGCTCCTTCTGGTTGAACTGAGCAGAGTGTACACATTTTAAGCCTGAGGTGGGTCAGAGCCGCGTCTGAAAGGGAGTACTGGACTCTGCCAGCCCTTGGGGAGTGTTGGCCTTAGTTAGAACAGCACCCTCCATATGATCAAGCAATGAACCCATATTTGCAGCTGCATTTGGGAAATATTTCAAAACACAAATTACAAAATTTGAACCCAAATACTGAAAGTCATCTAGTTGGATGGGGCGGAAGAAGAGCCCGGTGCGGGTGTGCTGAGATGGGAAGGCAGTTGCAGGGCTACCCAGGCAGTGCCTCTCTACCTCTGGGGCGATGTAGTCAGGAGTCCCACAGAAGGTGTTGGTCCTCGCCTCGCCTCGCACGTTCTCCTTGCACATTCCAAAGTCCGCTATCTTGATGTGGCCGTCCTTGTCCAGCAGGATGTTGTCTAGCTTCAGGTCCCTGGAAAACAAAAGCAGTAAATGCAATTAGAAGAACACTGTCACGAGAACAAGGCAGCTAGTCTCAGCACCGTCTAAGAGGGTGCACGAGGGGGAGATTCGCTGGCCTTTCTCCTCCTCGCCACCCTGATCTTCAGACCACAGGGCTGCTCCGCTCGCCCTCTGCTCACTGCTCTCTGGTGTTCACTCCTGGACCCAGGAATCTGCCGTGGGCCTGACCTTCTGCAGACTTCTGTCCTGCATGCCCTGCTCAGAGCTGGTGGATCTCTGTAGCTCAGTCTGTATTTCTGGTAAGCGCGACCTGGCCGGTGCGAGAGTGCGTGCATACTGGATCAACTCCTGTGTGCACATCCTTCAGTTTTAAGAGGGAGGCTTTCAAAAACAATGTGGAGATGTGAAGAGGGGGCTCACTCTGCAATGCCCCTTAGGCCAGTGATGCATTTGGTGTAAGGTAATGTCTAATGCCACACAACAGGCATGTGGTCCATTGCTACAAAGTGTGCAGAGACAAAGCTCATTCCTCAAGGCACTGGTTGCCGCTGCTGATTTTCCTTCCGATGTATCAAGGACTACAACTCTATATAAGGGGGACAGAGCACCAACATCTTTTGGGGGGTACTGGGGATCGAACTCAGGACCTTGCAGGCACCAACCTTTAACCCAGTACCTTTTCAGAAGGTAATGGTGGAGTAGAAAAGGCCTAAAAATACACTCACGTTGTGCCATTTTCTACCAGGGTTCTGTTTGTTTCTTTGTGAATAAATCGTACTGCACCTAACTCCAGGTCTAGTTGAGGAAAGCTGTTCCTCACCAACGCAGAACCATTCTAGAGCCAGAAGCCCCCAGGAACATAATGCCCGAGTAACAGGGTGTAGGGCCCAAACATTCTTCTTTCCTTAGAGGACCGGTATCCTCCTCAAACAGCCCATTCTATTCTCAGGTAAATGTAACTCCTAACTAAAAAAAAAAAGAAAATAAATCAGTCATGTCATGCTTTGCTCTGATTTTACCCACTAGTTGTAATAGTGTTATTATTACACATGATACCCTAGATATTTGAAAATGACACCAAGTTTTTTTCTCATTTTTCCTTTATCAATCTCAGGGGCTTTGTTACTCATATAATGTTGTTTTTGAGCCCTCCAAATATCCAGAATTTCTCAGTTTCCTTCCTCAGAAGTGATGTCCAAAGTGGAAGCAGCACTGTCCAGGTAGACGGCCTGCCTGGTGCAGACTCAGTGACATGAGGGGCACGATCAGCTCCTCTTGGGGTCTTCTGTCCTCTTGCTGCAGTGGCCTAAGATATTTCATCTTTGTTTTAGGAATATTATCATAGCAATGGTAATAGTGGGTTTAGTGGAAACCAAAACCTTCAAATATTTTTTTCTACACAAACTGACACTATCCCAGTTTCTTATGCTGCATTTGCAAAATTGACTTTTTAAAGATAATTTGTGTTTTACTTGCTGTTGATTTTTAAATTTTTCTATCTTCTTGATTTGAGTCAGTGAAATTTCACAAATTCTAGTTTGCCATATACAATCCAGCTTTCTTTGGATGTCTGCACTTTCTGAGATTTATTTCTCTACATCCAGGACATGCAGCTGTAGTGGAGACCACTACCTTCCTTGCTTATCTGAGATGACTTGGACAGGAGTAGGAACAGCCATTGCTCTTCTTCTTTGCTGGACCTCTTGGATGAAGATGCACTTAGGCTCTTTTCTTCAACATTCTCCTCCCACAGGGTCAAGTAAGCAATATTTAGCGAGTTGACTCGACCAGGTAATTTATTTTTTCTGTTTTTGGATCCTTTGGCACGGCACCCTTATGTGTCTTGGTTGGGTACCAGAGGTGCTGCGGTATTTCCTCGAGCACGTCCTTGGCTGAAATTGGGTGCATTCAGTGTGGTATGGCTGTGGATTCCCATATGCCCTCGGAGAAAGGAAGACTAACTTATAAAAGAAGAAACAAGTGACGTGGTCAGGCCAAGAGCAGAAAGAAAGGCCCTGCAGGCCTTAGGAGAAATGAAGATGACAGGTGAGATGCTGCCCTAGTTTTTGAATGGTCTACCTTCTTGCTTTCAGTTTATTTCTTGCTTTCTTTTTTTTTTTGGCGCCTGGGATCAAGCTCAGGACCTTGCGCTTGGGAGGCAGGCGGCGGAACCACTGAGCTAAATGACCGGCCTTGCTTCCAGTCTCTTAATGAGACCTCACTTTTGTTCATGCAGTTTTATGCTACTGGTCATTAATATTCATGTTCTGAAGCTTCCGCTTCTGTTTGTCTTTCTCCTTTGTTAAACCGGAAGCTTCGTGATGATGGACATAAGTATTGTTTGTTATCTGTTATAATGCAATAGCTCTGATATCAGTGTCACATGCCCTGAGCACTCAGTAATCTTTTAGGAATGAATTAACCTCCCACCAAAGGTTATCATTTGCAAAGTATGTTCCCCTTAATTCTTTTCTCCACTCTCCGGGAGAGTAAGTCAGCCAGCAGAATCAAGAGTAGAACATCGCTGTTTCAGTGGGGCTGGTGTTTCCCATCTGGACCATCAAAGCGTTCTCGATGGCTTCTGTCTGCCCGGGAGACTAGGTCTAAAGATGTCAAATACAGAGTTTCAGTGCGAGCTATGAATTCTCTTCCAGGAAACCCAGAGTCGAGGTCATGTTTACCTTCTTGAGTCAAATCTCAGGTTCATCATCTGGTACATATACTTACATAAACTGATAACATTTTGTTTTTCTTCATATGAAATTTTTGTATAATTTATAGCCATGTGTGTACGCTTCTAAAATTTTGGCTGAAGGATGGTTTTGGAGTCATCTCTAGGACAGCCAGATCTCTGGCCCCAGTGTTATACACAGATCATAAAAATAATGAACATAATGTCTGACATTTATGTTTTGTTTTCTTGTTTGTATGTGCACTTTATTATTTGATTCTTACAATAGAACTTTAATCTCAAATTATTATTTTTATTTGTAGTTATTTTCTGATGAGAAAACAAAAGCCCTTAGAGGTGGTGTGATTTATCCCAGACCACACAGCCAGTCAGTGGATCAGGGCACAAAACCAGTCTTTATCTTCTCTTCCACCCTTTTGTACTAAGCTCAGCTGGTCTTATTCCGCAAACTGGTTTTGCTGAAGTTACAAATATATATTTTAACGGATTCTAAAAATAAATGTTCTGTAGGCCTCAGGCTAGGAATAACAAACTTTGAGTCAACTTTTCAATCTGTCTAAAGCAGGCCAAGTGTGTTTGGGACTATGAGAGAGAAGGTCACGGAAGCTTTGACAGATCTAAATTGGAACGGGAAGGGTTCAGAAGGGGCTGCTTTGAAAAGCCAGCCCTGTGCAGTGAGGAGAATGAGGACAGGAGAAGACCAGTTAGGTTCTCTAGAGCAGACCGGGGAAGCCATAGAACCAAAGGCCCAGAATGCTCTGAGGCTCTCCGTGCTGGTTACCCTTCACTGTACCCCGCAAGACACCAGGACTGCAGTAAGAATCCAGAGTCCAAGGCCCTGATCTTTCCCTGTAAACACCTGTCTGCTTACATGTAGCAAAATACGTGGAAGCCTCTCATTCAGTTGCATGGTCAACATAAGCGAAGCTCTTCATTCAGGACAGACAGCATGGGAGATTAGCCTGGCTTTATGGCTGACTCACACAGACACATCACCTCCCTCTTCGAGGAGTCTAGTTACTCCCACGGAATGGGGTTGATGGTGCCTGCTTGCTTGTCTCCTTACGACATCAAAGGAAACAATCCATGTGAAAAGCTTTGGAAGTGGCTTCAGATATATGAGTTGGGCCCAGCGTAGCACCATGTTACGGTTTGGGTCTAAATGTCTCCCCAAAGCCTAATGTGATCCATCCACTCACCCCTCCCGTACAATCTACTCAGCACCCAGACACAAGTGTATTTTAGATATTCACAGTCATTATAGGTATATACAGAACAATTTTAAAGCTTATGAATCCTGATCAAGGTGAGTTTCAATTTTCTGAAGATTAAAAATGATATAAAACACCTTCAAAATCTATTATTTTTATAGACAGATACATAAAACATGTTTAAGAAGCTTGACTTCTCAGAGCTTCCCCAGGTCTTCAGTTCTGTGATACTAACTACAGTAGCCTCAGTCAGGGAGCCTCTGGAAATGCAGGGGTCCTTCCCCCTTAACGGAATCTTCCAGATAACGGCACCATACACTGTAAACGCCAAGCCTTCAGTACTAACCAACGCTATGCACCTTGCTGTCTCAACAGTCTGAGGGAAACACGATGGGACCTTTATTGGTGACTCCAGGTCACTGTGAGTCTGTCACAGAAGAAGTCCCTCTGAGTTTTCAGCAGCTTAGCCAGCCTCCTCTCCAGCTCCTTTCTCTTTCTATTGTTCCTCCCTCCAGTCTACAGTGAGTTGGAAACCTGACAACTAAACTCTTGAAGATTTGTATGTTAAGCAAGTGTCAACTGCGTTTGGAGAAAAGAAGAACGGAGACTGGAGTACAACAGCTTTCATCTGAGGGCTTCGGCAGCAGAGTATGATAGAATAGAGAGATTCTGGAAGAGGACACCAGAGGTGTTCTGTGCACTTCTACGAGGTATAGAACAGAAGGTTTTCATGGGTGTGTGAGTGTCCCAGCACTCGCTCCTGTAACTGAAAGAAGAGTATTTCACATCGAGGATGGAATGATCAACTTGTTCTGTGTATGTACGAAACGAACCTCAACACAAAACGGGAACATGGCAAAAGTATTTCTAGGTGACCCAAAGCAAATATGAGCAAAGTCAAGAGGTACCAAGGGAACACATGAGACAGCAAACGAGGATAAGCTATGAGGGCGAAAGGAGAGTGATGGAAAGAAATGAGAGAAAGGAGGTGAACGAGACAGTAAGAGAAAGCATGAAGAACAAAATCAGACTGGAACCTTCTTGCTTTGGAGACTGCGATTTCTTACCTGGCGGCTATCGAATTGCTTTTCGGATAATCATTATTGGCAGGAGGACTGGGTGGGAAGACTTTAACATCAAATTGTACTCACTGTCAATTCCACATCAATCAAATCCAGTGATTAAATCAACTGGGCCAAGAAATCAGATATCTCAGTATTTGTTTCCAAAGAGCCCAACTTACCTATAGACGATTCCTTTGGAATGAAGGAACTGGAGACCAAGAATGATTTCAGCAGCATAAAACCTGAGGGGAAAAGCCAAGGGTCAACACGAATGCATTAACAGAACGAAATAAAGTCCCTGAAGCTGGTCTGATGTTTTCTGCATGTGGTGTGCTTATCTAAATAGTGTACACACATAATTTTGTTTAATCCTAAGAAGGAAGATGTCATCCATTCTGCACTTGAGGAAATGAAGGCTCAGAGCATCCAGCCTCAGTCCTGAGAGTATGAAAAGAGCTGGTATCTTAACCTGGCCTATCCTATATCTCATGTTTATTCATAAACTCGAATGCCTGTACTGTAATTTCTTTGCAAGTAAAACATACAGAGATTAAATGTAATACTATAGTATAGTAGGGAAATAGTTTCCTTCCTTACTTGAAACTCTGTTTCAAGACCATAGACCTTCAACGTGCAGTCATTCTAAAAAGATCTGGCTGGTTTATTTTCATACTGACAATATTTAGCCTGTACAAGACAAACATTCTGATATATGGAAACAAAGGATATTAGAAGATGGGAGAGTGATACGTTACTGGCCTTCAATGGTGAGGGGTTTAAAGGAAACGAGGGAGCGGATCTCTAGTGGTACTGAGGTCAGAAATAAGGGGAAGCTTCCTGGAGTGAGGCTGTAGAGAGCTCACGGATGAATTCACAACAGATGGACAATTTGTGTCCAAGCTGACTTCATACATTAGAGCGAGAGAGGACAGTGGGCCAGTAGTTGGGGCCTAACAAAAATGTCCAGTGATTTTGGTGCTGCTGGAATCCCGGAAAGTCATCTCTGGTGCTCTGCTAAAGGTCCCCGGAGGCAATGACACAGGTGCAGCTATCCCTGTGATTTGACAAAACCGCCACTTCAGCCAGAGAGGAAAGCCAGGTTGCTATGTTCAAAGGTCACCGTGGAAGGACCTGTGGGGACAATGTAGGCAGGGCCAGTGGGACTTTGATATCATCCTACTGGGTAGACACAGCCCACTCCCTCTCACGGGCATCTGTTGCTGCTTGATGCCAAGGAAGAGAAAGATTTCTTCTCAAATTGAGCAAATGCCTCTTCCGATCTCCTCCTTGTCATGCCCCAGAAAAGAGATGCTTTTATGCCTTTGTGTGGACCTTCCCGTGAGAGGCTTCAGCTAAAGGCTTTGTCCCTGGGGGGACTGTGATGATTTGTATTTTGTTTGACTGCCTTCTTTCCAGAAAGCAAATATTTACTTCTGTGCTCAATTATTTACAATTGGGGCAGTTCTTTAAGAAACTAAGTAGCTGTTTTCAAAACATGGAGAGATAAAACAAAATTAACCCAGATTTCAGTTTAACAAACAGGGAAAATGATTGCTTTGTTTGGTGATAGAGTAATCCCAATGGTTTACCTGGTCCTGGGATTTAGGCATGCTGAATGAGGAGGTAAGAAATGTACCACAGAGGAAAAATATTCTGTCAGTACTAGGTTTTGTACAAACTGGTAAGAACATGGAAAGCCCCCAAATCCATAGGGCTCTTACGTGGCTCTGGGGAGGTCAAACTTGTGGCAACTTTGAATGTGGTACATTAAGTCTCCTCCGTTGAGATACTCCATCACAAAAAAGAGGTTTTCCTAGGGGGAAAAAACAAACAATCTTTACTTTTATTTCCTTAAAAATGAAAGAGACAGACAGAAAGAAAACAAGACTTTTTTAAAAAAATGGATTAGAGAATTTCGGAAGGACCCATTCTATCTTGAAATCTCTTTTGAAAAGACTGGCAAAATAAATTAGCTGATGTATATTTTTGAACCCTAGGCAGCCCGGGGACCAGAGGTGGGATGTGGGGTATCATTTGTGGGTGTGCTGTGATGTAGCCAAGTGAGGTGCAGCTTGCACTTGCTCACTGGGCCCTGGCACAGAGTTGAGCCCTTAGTAGGTACAGATCATGTGGAGGGTGGCGGAACTGGGGCCTCTGACTCCAGAGCAGGGCATGAAAATAGCTGATCACACAGTGGTCAGTGAGCAACCTCTGGGGCTGAGTGAGTACAGGACGCTTGGTCGTTCTTTGTCCATCAAAGCCGATGAGCCAGTGCTCCTCCACTGTTCTGGAGCTTGCAGTCAAGCTCTGCTTTTCTTTTCCCGCTGTCCAGTCCAGACTTCACACGTTGCAGAGGAAAGCCATGGATTCGAGTGTGCCCCTCCTAGCAGGGGCCACCCATGTGTGATGTTAGAGCCAGTGCCCCTGAGAGGTGGCCTTCAAAGCCAAGGCTGGGGACTCTTCAGAGTGTGAGCAAAATCAGAGGTTGCTGCACTTCCAACTGGCCTGTGCTACTCAGACCATGTGAGACGATGTTTCTTCAACAAAAGTAGTCATAGCTCTTTGAGCACCCTGAATTTTCAAGGGCTCTTAAGATTCATAGAATCAGTAACCCATCAAGTGTGGAAGCAGTTGGAGTATTTGTGCATGACTTTGCACCTAAAAGCCTCACCTAGCTGATTTTTTAAAACAGAATTCACCTTACATCTGGATGCAAGACTAACCAAGGCCCTGGGGCATGCGAGGTCAATGGTACCAACAGTGGTCTGGCCTTAGTGACATTCACTGCCTGCTGTTCCCACTGAGTTCACTTTCTACATAGTAAGGAAATACAAATATGGGACAATTATCTCAATAATTCAGGTAAAACTAAGGGTCCATCTGCTCTTTCCGGAGTTGTTCTCAGATCTAAGTTTCTGGTTCTAATGCTTTTTGGGTGGAGCATACTCTTGTCTTTTGAGGACAAGCCAAAATTTTCAGGTGACAAATCTTAACACTGCTTTTTCAGACATCACTTGAGAATAACCATTTACCCCACCTGTACACACTTGCCTTTTCCTCGGCTCACCCGATCTGCTGCTCTTGTTCATGTAAGTACCATGCGAACACCTTCTCCAAACCATGCTGGCCCCACCCAAGCCACAAGGATGGTGTCTTCATTTGGATACCTAGCAGAATGAAAGGCTATGCACATAGGGTAGGACTATTACAGCGCCCAGGGGAAGTGCTCTTTGCAGGGTTAGGATGCTTACAAAGCCAGAGGAAGGTTACAGTTTCGCAGTGATGACACTGTCAGGTGAGACTGGAGGCAGATGAGGGGAGGGGATGCGAGGAGACGTCTCAGCCCCATCCCACTTTTCTGCTCTCCTCCCCGTTCTCACATGCAGGCTCTGCACATCGCGGGGAGCCTTGGGGAGTTAAAGCTGCCACTGACAGACCCCCAATATCCTGGGGCTTGGTACGTAAGATATTTTTTTCCCTCATTGAGTTTATTGGTACATTTTAGGGATACAGTACAGTTACATGCATCATTGGGGTCTTGTACCTCCACATGACAGGTCTTGGTTCTCATTTTTCCCCTTGTCCCTGCCCTCCCTTCACCCGCTCCGCCCTCCCCATTTACAAGACATTCTTATTCCGTGGGAGTGAGAAGACCGCACTGACATAGTCATCACTAATTAAAAAGCAGTGGAGACTTCACATGGAGGATGCCACGTTTAATCCCTCTATGAGGTTCAATGGCTCCACAGCAAATCTTTCAAAACAAGCTGTTCAGGTTCTCGTTTTGATATGAAGTCAAGGATACTGAAAAATTGCTCTGCTTATCTCTTGTCACTTACAATGCCATCATGTGTCGGTTTAAGTCTTTGTATGACTAGGAGGTAAAATTCGGGGTAAATACTTCCCAGAGGTGGAAATGTACAGTTCAATGCTCATGAAAGAAAGAAAAATAAGAATTAGATTTCTTTCTCCTGTGCTGCACTCTAGGTTCTGGTCACCAGCTGAGAGAAAATGCAAAAGAAGGATGGCCAACAGAGCTGGTGTGAGCGAGCTGGGCTTGCGACCAGGTCCGTTTGATACGACCGCCGGAACACGTGCCCGGTGACAGAGTAGCTGACGCAGATGGCTCTTCTGGGCGGGTGAGAAGTGGCACCTTAGAGTCAGTGTATCAATACCCCGGCACGGAACTTTCTGAGTGGAATTCTAGTCCGTGAGATACATGCCCGACTGTCACTGAGTCTCATTCTATGCAAAGTGGAACTCTTCATGAGAATCCCCTTTTCCTAGCCTAACGACTCACCATGTATGGAGTTTTCTCTTTGTCTTGGTGAAAAGTTGATTTAAGTAGATTGTACTGATATTTATGTAGCGTTTCCCAGATTGTAAAGTGACTGTTAGCTCGAGGATATGCTGCGTTTGCAAACTTCTATGAGAAGCCACTGTCTAGAAACAATGCAGATTTAAGTGTACTTAAGTAATAGAGCTAAATCTTTGACTTCCTCAGCGGAGATGTGAATCATAGCTGGGTTCTTCGTGGCCCACAAAGACCTCAGTTGCACCACACAAGGCAGGGGCTTCTGTCTGAGCAGCCCCCAAGCATATCGGGCCAGGAATGTGACTCAGTGGCACAGCGCCTGCCTGGCAAGTGGAAGGTCCTGAGTTTGGTCCCCAGGATCAAAAATAAAACACTTCTGTGGCTACACAGGTATATAAGGTCCCAAGGGCCCCGGGTTGCTGTAATATGTGAATGCATCCCACTGTGGACAAAGGGTGCAAAAACAGGATGGGTCAGAAGGGCATGCAGCTCCTTGCTGTTTTGAGTAGACAAGGATGGATGGCAGGAGAGGAAAATTTTTATTGGTCTTGGTATTTAGTTTCTGAAATGTGTATCTCATTTTCTGAGAAGGAACTCAAGCAGATGTACCTGGAGAAGGGTATCTAAGGGCATGGAAAGAAAGGGACCGATGATCTCTAGGATTTTTGCCTGCTTCCTTAGGTAGCACAGACTATGGCTTTTGGTTCCCTGGATAAATGAATTTTACACCAGAGAGGTGTCCTTGCTCAACCAGGTCCTTCCAGGAGGAAACACACTAAGATTTTTGCCAACCATGTTGGTGTCAAGTCACACATACTGGTTTGTAAAGTGCACATTCCTGCAAGGCCTCTTGTACTACCATGCACTGCCCTCGGACCTTCTCTGAGTGTCATTCCATCGCCCACTACATTGATTAGTAAAACAATAAGACACTGAGCTCTTTCCATCCTGGTGCGGATGGGTTTCAGCTGGAGTCTGAGAGTACAGATACATCAGGACTTTTGGAAGCAGGGATTGACTGGGTAATGCTTAAGTGCCTTGGCTTACAGAAAAATGTTCGATGTATGATTCAATAACACTCACTTATCAGCTTTCCTGTTTATGAAAACACACCTGCAACACACATGCTGCTCTGTCTGCTAACAGTACAAAAATGAGAGCCACAGTTATTCATTACTTTGCTGTGATCTTCCCACAACCGTTTGAAAGCAATAATGAGTATCAGTATTCTGTTGATAGTAGACACATACTCAAACCTCCGGGCTATTTTTTTAAAAAATTATTTTCTTGATGCTTTAAAATGCAAATGATTCTTGAAAAAGCATTTAAATATATGCAAATATTTTTCATCACTTGGCTGATGGAACTGTATATTTTGTATTCTTTTGTACTTCTAAAAATATGAGATATCACTTTGGGTGACTCTAAAACTTAAATGCTTCCATATTCATTTTCTGTGTCAAATACCTCTGTGACAATTTATTTGCAAAGGTGATCTGTTCTTGTGAAAGTAAGGGAATGAGTTAAAACTAGTTAAGAATAGAAAGTGTAAAGTAGTTGGTGAATCCAAAGGCGGGGGGAAAAGGTCAATTTTAAAATGAGGAATTACTTCAGTAGTTTTCAGGGCCGAATCTTTAAATCACTCTGAGCTAATTTTAGTCCATTTCCCAGTATCTGTCTGGGACTCCTTCTCCGCCTTTGCGTCGCACTGTCAGTACAGCGTGGGTTGATTTGTGTGAGAGTAGACATGGGGATTCCCTTTGGGCCGTGGACTTCCACATGAAGCTTTGCATTGCGAAGTCTGCTTATCAAAGAGGAATGACGCCTAGCTCACCTTGTAGGGCTGCCTGCCAAAGTAGGCTGCAAGGCCACTCTTTCCACATTTGCCCTGTGGTTGTGAGAAAAGGGAGCTCTTTGTGTTTTGGTGAGGACCGCAGAGCTGGGTCAGGATGTGCAGGCACACACTTGACAGATAACAGGTGCCTTGAGTGGAGACCGGGCTTGTAGTCCTAGGTTAGCTGATGGGACAGTGTCCTGCCCGGCACGCAAATGTCCGCTCATGTCCTTGCACACTCCGTATTGATGTGGCTACACTAAAGCCAAGTTTCTATGGTATGTTCGGATTTAGAAGGCGATTTTGAAGCTGGAGTATCTTTTAAAAATTCTTAATAGATGGAGCTATAAATGAAACCACCCTAGAAAAACAGGGTTTTTCTTTTTTCAGATAATCATTTGTGTAATTTTTACGAGAGAGAGAGAGAGAGAGAGAGAGAGAGAGAGAGAGAGGAGGGAGTGAGAATGAAGGAGAGGAACTCAGAGCACAGTGATTCTCTGCAAAGTGAGGCATTCATTAGGGCTTGTTGTTTTATTTCTACTGTGAACTCTAATTAGTAAAATTCACTGCCTTTCACTGATTCATTTCTGTGTGTCAGAGACAATGCTCCTGAATTTCTACAAATCTGAACCTTGCAACAGGGACTTGGGCTCCGTTGGTATTT